TATTGCATGCTGATGGAGGGGTTAGGCCATCGAGTTTGGAACTTCCAGGAGAACAGTCAGCGAAATAAGAAGTATACAATAAATGATAATATCCACAGTCTCATTGTCACTATTGAGATTGCAAATTAAGTAAGAGAGAATGAAATCAAAGTCTGCAGGTTACCTGAGGTAGGGTAGTGATGCTGAGATTACTATAAAGAACCAAAGATATGCTGAGTCCATAACAATTCCTATTAGACATCAAGGACATGGGATCTACGGGGGACAGCTAGTATTTTTCTGGGCCCTAAACTGTTTAGAACAGTGGGTGGAGCCAGAGGAGTTAGATGTTGTCATGGAGAGAGAGCTCATGAGATGGGCCTTCACATTGCTCAGCAGGCAATGAGAATCTTCTTGGAGATATGTGACTCAGTGAAAGACCCTGCGTTGGACCACAATTTGATCAGCGCGATAGGAAACGTTTCTTTGAAGAAGAGTCTGTTCCATTGCCTATCAGGTCCTCTTTTAGTTATCTTCCCTGTACTGGCTTTCAGTCTCTTTTTCCTACTCTGGGCTGGTCACTACATTTGCTACTCCTGATTAGTATAGTGAGGAGGGAGCGCTCTTGGAGTCACTAAGGTTTAGGGGGAGCAAAGTTACCAGTAGGGGGCAGCCTGATATTCTATTTAGTCTACTGATTTCTGACCCAAACTGGAACAGGGAGTAGAGGCATTTAGACTTCTTTTGGGGTGACAAGTCACTGGAAAGTTGAACTCTGTCTTTGATCACTGAGTAACTGAGAAACCCTGGAGTACAGCTCCCTCGAGGTCATTTCTCCTGATAGAGATGTGTGATAGAGATGTGCACTTTAACCTTTTATCTTTTTGATACAAAGCTTTTCCTTTTTATTCTTTCAGTGTGAAGGCTCCACCCACTGTTCTAGACAGCTTAGGGCCCAGTATCACCTCCTCTGATCCTCCTTTCTCCTTCCCTCTGTTGCCTGCCTTATCTCCTCCTTCCTTTCTTCCTTCTCTTTTTTCTTTTTCTGTCTCTCTCTTTTTTCTTTAAAACTTAAAAACCTCAAAGATAGAATAATAGAACAATGTCTTTTCTAATATTCAGAACTGGCACTTTAACCTTTTATCTTTTTAATACAAAGCTTTTCATTTTTATTCATTAAGACCCCTTCTCCTTTCCCAAGGTGACCTTTTCCTTCACATACATACTGAACTATGAATATCATGTGGTATTGTTTTCTGTGCATTTCTGTTTGTTCGCAACACACTCAGCAATGCACAGGACTTACTCCTGGCTTTGTGCTGAGGGGAATCATACCCTATTCCAGGAAATGAACCTGGGTTAGTTGAGTGCAAGGTTATCCACTATACTCACTGGCCCTGTTTTCTGTATATTTTAAAACTTCATATGGATTGTTTTATATTGTGTGTACATAAAGGAATTTTTTTTTCTTTTTGGGTAACACCCTGCGATGCACAGGGGTTACTCCTGGCTCATGCACTCAGGAATTACTCCTGGCGGTGCTCAGGGGACCATATGGGATGCTGGGAATTGAACCTGGGTCAGCTGCGTACAAGGCAAATGCCCTACCTGCTGTGCTATCGTTCCAGTCCCTTTAAGAAATTTTTCTTTTTTTTCTTTTTGGTTTAACATGAAGATCTTTTTCTTCTCAAGATAAAGTTCTAGTTTAGTTGACATACATTTCACACACCAATTTCATTTCTGGCCATACCCAGTGGTTCTCAGGGATTAGTGGTTTTGTGCTCAGGAATCACTCCTGGTGGTGTTCAGGGGACCATATGTGGTACATGGGAATGAAATCTGTGTAGGCCATATGAAAGGCAATAGTCACTGTATTTTTCTTTCTGACCCTTATTTTTTTAATTTGATGAACTCTTGTGTTTTTTTTTCAGTTTTTGATTCTTATCACAATGCAATGGCCATTCTTTTTATGTCTCCTTATGTGCATGTGTGAAAATTACTTTTGGACAAATACCTATAGATAAAATCAATGAGCAGGTGAAGAGACTGAAGAACTCTTAATGATTCCACAGCAGTGACAGTCACCAGGCTAAGTCAGCTGGGGAGGTGGGTGGGTTTCTTGGGAGGTCCTGACCATCATCCCAAAGAAACCTGCCCCATATATTACCATGTTGATTACATGGTGTGTGTGTGTGTGTGTGTGTGTGTGTGTGTGTGTGTTCACTCCTGGAAGGCTCAAGGGACCGTATGAGGTGCCAGGGTTCAAACCACAATTGGTCATATGCAAGGCAAACACCCTATGTGCTGTACTATCACTCTGGCCCCTATGTGTGGTAATTTTTAAATATTACAAAGTCTTTGGGATAAAATATCTCTGTCTTGGAGGCTGTTTTATAGAAGACAAATTTCTGTCAACTCTGACACTATTTTCTGTTTGGTGTAATTTTTTTCTTCTCAGCATTTATACACCCATTTTAACATCCTATTTCCCTTTGCTGTTGCAAGGACTAGTGTCACATGTGCGTGGCGTGTTGTTCTCACAGTTTATTGTGGTGCTTGTTTGGTTTCATACCCTGCATTGCAGGACTTTGACATATGCTCCCTCACACTGACACTCATTTTCAGTTGTGGTGCTGTCACACATTTTATTGTAGTGCCCACTGAGGGTGCAAGGCTGTGGTGCTCACACACACACTGGCTGTGGGTTGCATATTGGCAGTTGTGATTACATGTCTTTAGTTGTGCATGCCACGGTTCACACATTTTACTTGCTTTCCCACAATTGGCTGTAGATTGTACATGGTGTTGTATCTCCGGGGACATCAGAAAGCAGAACCATTGGGTATTACTCAGCACATGTAATGGACTTGGGGAATCAAACTCATGCCTGATGATTAGAAGGCAGACACTTTCACCAGAGTAATCCCTTAGGTCCTTTGTAAACTTTGTTTTTTTTTTTTAATCAATGACAATCTTATATGTGTATAGCTTATAATAACAAAATAATGTATATGTTTTTATCTTTTTAGATTGGGTAGAAGATACCTCTACTTATTGATTCTTCTCTTTAGAATTGTTTATTATTTCTGTCATTTTGAGTCGTGTTAGTAATAGCAGAGCTACAAAATTGATTTTCTCTATCTTAATTGGAATATGTTTTACATCTTAAAATTTTTGAAAAAAGATAGGGAAAAACCCATTCTGGAACAACCTTTTGTTTTACATCCTTTGAAACTGCAAGTCTTGTCTACCTATTTAGCCATTAACCTCTTCTCCAACCCAATCAACCAGCCATGTAGACATCCAAACAGACAGCCAGGCAGATGTCAACCAGCTAGCCCTCAAACTAGTTAGCAAGTCATCAGTTTCATCTTTTGTATATTTGACTTGTGCCTGGCACTTTTTTTGATGTAGTTGTGCACATTGAGAAATATGAAATAGGATATATATATATATATATATATATATATAATTCTTTCTTTCTTTCTTTCTTTCTTTCTTTCTTTCTTTCTTTCTTTTTTCTTTCTTTCTTTTTACTTTTTGGGTCACACCTGGCGATGCACAGGGGTTACTCCTGATTCTGCACTCAGGAATTACTCCTGGCGGTGCTCAGGGGACCATATGGGATGCTTGAAATTGAACCCGGGCCGGCTGCATGCAAGGCAAACATGCCCTACCTACTGTGCTATTGCTCCAGTCCCGAAATAGGATATATTTTTGGTATTACTTTATTTTGGGGTAACACCTGGTGTTTTCAGGCCTTATACCTGGCTCTTTGTTTCATTTTGGGGTAACACTTGATGTGTTGAGGTCTTATTCATGGTTCTGTACTCCTGGTGATGTTGGGATACTACATACAGTATAGGGTTTGAATGAGGGTTAGTTGCATGCAAGGTATCTTAACCTCTATAATATCTTCTAGTTCAGGATTTATCTATATATACATAACTCATAGTGCACATAGGACTTTTTATGAATAAATATTATAGGTATTTCCATGGTGGCAGGTTTTGAACTTTGTCATTGTTTTACTAGGAATTTTCTTGGTTGCAAATTACTAAAATTTGGATCAATCTTCTGTTAATGACTTCTAACCTCAGTGATGTATGCATCTATATACTCAAGTGATACTTTGATTATTTCTGTTTTTTATCTCTTAATCTTTTTCCTTCTATGTCATAATTTATTCTTGGGAGTGTTTACTATGGTATAAACATTTCACATGGAAGTTCCAGGACTTCTTTGAAATAATATTGAGAGAGAGAGAGAGAGAGAGAGAGAGAGAGAGAGAGAGAGAGAGAGAGAGAGAGAGAGAGATGTGGTGGTCATCATCATGCTGAAGAGTTCAGACTTCTTTCCAGCCCAAGTTATCAGTTTACTCCCTAATTTGAGGGTTTGAGCAGTTGGTTAAGACAACAGTTCCTAAAGAGAGTGCATTAGGTTCACATGGGTTTGTAAAATGTACTTTCTGAAAAGAAATAACGATATTACATAGGTAGAAATGGCTGTTGCTGGACTAAGAAAAGAAATAACAAGGAGAAAAAGGGGTAAGAAGGGTAAAATAAGATAGTATGTCTTAAGGGAGATTAAAAAGAGGGAATGGCTGCTTTTGGAATGTGAAGAGAAATGTGATTTGCCCCAGATCACAGTGGTAAACCCATGACCATCACACAAGAAGTATCTTTTTGAGGATGAAGATGAATCTCTAAGCCATGTTCACCTCTATACAAAGGAGGTATCTTGAAATGAGGCGCATACTGAAATCATTAGTTGAAAAAGTGATCAAAAATTAAGAAAACATGAACCTAGTGAATTTACCATCAGCCTAAAACCTGATCATTCATGGTTTCTGTTCTATATTATTTAGTTTTGCTTCTCTTACTGTATTTAAAAGGAATGAAGAAAGGGGACTAGGATAAGTGGGGATGGATTGCCTTGACCACCCTGATGAGGTTGGATGGAAGATACCCATTCTTTTTATATTGCCTGTATTCTGATTTTCATTCTTCTTTCCCTTACAGTTACATTGCAAATCAGAAGAGATTAGAAATCATCAATGAAGGTGATCTTGAAGCTTACGTGGGATTGAAAAATCTGTGAGTTCTCAGAAGCGCATACCTAGTTTCCAAACATTTTTTAATACTGTCAGGGGAACCTCCATTGTTTAGTTCTGACATGCATGCATTTATATGCTTTTACAGGACAGTTGTGGATTCTGGATTAAAAGTTGTGGCTCATAAAGCATTCCTGAAAAATGGTGATTTACAGCACATGTAAGTAGTGATTGTCTTTATTTTACTTTTCATGACACAATTTATTTGAGTCTCTATTTTCATTCTTAATCTCTTTCCCCCTCATTTTCCTTTTTTTTCTTACTCTAAGCTACCCTTTTTAAAAAATTATACATGTGACTATAGCTTGTAACCATTAGCTTTGATTTTTGTTTGATGACTGAATAACTTCAGAGGGCTGGTTGGAACAATCTTTATTTCCTTTCATAAATTCTGGTCCATTTCCATCTTGGACAGAGTAGTAGTCCAACAGTAATGAATCTGATATGAGAACTGTCCTATTATAGTGTCTATGATTCTTTTTCTTGGAATAATCACATGTTTCCTGGAAAACGTCAAACTAGTTACAATCAGAAAACAAAACAAAACAAAACAAAAAACCTGACTTGTACTTGGCCTTTTTCAGGGAACAAAAAATTACAAATGCTCCTCTGATCCCCATAAAAGAACATATTGGAAAGCTTCATTTTCTCAAAGCTATCTGTCATGATTGATAAAAATGGAGAAAAAATGATCACGTGGTATGATAAAGTTTCAGACAATTACTAACAGGGGCAAACGCTTTTCCTGAAGTCAAATTGGGTGCCATCAAATGAGAATATGGAAAATGGGAGTTTTTTGGTTCTTTGCTGCTAAATCTTGTTTAGACTCTGACATTTAATCAATGAGACATGGGCTATCTGAGAGGTGTCTTTATTAAACAGAGCATCACATTTCCTGAGCTCAGATTTGTGTCCCCCATACCAGAGTTAAGTGGAAACTTCTGCAAAAATAATGTTGCTTGAATTCATTGGCCATTTTGGTTTTGAAAATCATATTGCAATGATTTTGTGTGTGTGTGTGTCACAGTCTAAGTTTATCTAGCATTAAAATGTTAGTTCACTTGCATTATCTCATGTGATTTTTCTGATGGTGGGTAGCAGAGATCTTCCTCATTCCTGTGTCATAGACACAGAACGAGATGTAGAAAGTCTAGGGGATTTTCAGGACCATGTTCAGGGTGGACCATGTCCAATTTATAACTCCTTGTTGACTCCAGGCCATGTTTGTTATTATGATAAAAGTAAAGGAAATAAAACGTGTGTTATTAGAGAGAGAGAAGAGGAGGAGGAGGAGGAGGAGGAGGAGGAGGAGTAGGAGGAGGAAGAAGAGGAGGAGGAGGAGGAGGAGGAGGAGGAGGAGCAGGAGCAGAGTGGGAGGGAGGAGGATGTACAGGGATTATATGCCTTGTATGTTCCTGACTCCAGTTCAATCCAGCACTTGCAGGAGTGATCTCTAACCACAGAGCTAGGAGTAAGCCCTGAGCACAGCTGGGTGTGATACCCCAAACAAACGAACAAACAAACCTAAATTTGTGCTGTCCACTTAGTTAGAAAATCATTTCTTCTTTTTTCTGTTTTTGTTGTTGGGCCCCACTCAGCACTGGTGTTATGTACTGAATTTACTCCTGGTTATGTGCTCAGGGATCATTCCTGGTGAGCTCTGGGGACCATGTGGGGTGCTGAGGATTGAACCTGAGTCAGCTATGTACAAGGCAAACACCCTACCTAATATACTTTCTCCACCCCACCCACCAAATGATTACTTCTTAAAGCATTTGTTTTTCTTTTCTTGTGGAAGAACAGTTTCTCAACTGATATCCAGGCTAAAAATATAAAGATATCATCCTCTTAAGTATAGACTACCTGAATACCTCCAGAGATGTGTTGATATGAAAAGTCTAAATTTCATGTATCCAGTTTCATGACTTCATATTTTATAAGTAACCTTAATAATAAGGGCTGGAGCGATAGCACAGCGGTAGGGCATTTGCCTTGCACCAGCCAACATAGCCGACCCGAGTTCGATTCCTCTGCCCCTCTCAGAGAGCCCGGCAAGTTACCGAGAGTATCTCGCCCGCATGGCAGATCCTGGCAAGCTCCCCGTGATGTATTCGATAGGCCGAACACAGTAACAACAAAGTCTCCAATGGAGATGTTAGTGGGCCCGCTCGAGCAAATCGATGAACAACGGGAGGACAGTGATATGAACCTTAATAATAAAATAAATTTACAAATAAAGTATGTAGAATTAAAATATTAAGAAAATTGGCAAACCACATTGAACTTTCTATGGAACCTTATTAACACATCTCCTTTAAATACTTTATTGCATCTGATTCTTACTTGATTTACCTGCACAAATCTGCTTACCAAGTAGGCCCTGATAGTATAACTAGAGATAAGTTGTGTGTAAGAAAGAATCAGAATGCTCTAATGCAAGTCAGGTGAATATAATTAATGACCTGTGTGGCTAAATTATGGTATTTTCATTGCAGTTGACTTTAGTCCTCAATTATTCAGCAGCCACATATCACTTCCCCTAATGCTGTGATTTATATAGTGGATGCTAATCTATCGGAGTTTTCTACTTTTCTATGCTGCCTATGGCGTCCCCACTTTCCTTGATGCATGAAAACCAAAGCTACTTGTCTAATTTTTCATGGTAATAGTAGAATAAATTGTAATGGTGCTTCATGTGCTATGCGTAATTTGATAAAGCCTACCTTCTGCCCTACATCCCAAAGAGGTGTCCTTTGGAAATAGAAAAGCAAAGAGAAGAATAGAGTGTAGGTAGTTGCTTTAAGTATAACCATATGGGGAGTCCAGTCTTTGATCTCACTGCAAAAGCTACTCATATTGGTAATAATGAATTATGCAATAACGAATTGCACAATATTCAATAATGAAGTCATAAAATTTTAGTAATCTTTATTTTGTCTAATGAAAGAAACCCCCATGTGCCAATATATGGTATTAAAATTAAGTTATTGGCTTTTAAAAATAGTATGGGGAAGGAAATTAAGTTAGGTAAATTAAGTTAGATCTACTTGTCTACTTCTTTGTTCCAACTTGTGCTCCGGACTGAGGCCACGACTGCTAGTTTATTCACCCTGGTTTCCTATATAGAAACTCCAGAATATCAACCCAGTAGGTTTGATGTAGCTGATAAAATAATCTGTATTAGAAATTGTTTCTCTCTAACCTGAACTATACTGATTCTCTTTCTGAGTTTGTTCAGCTAAATAAACTTGTGCAGTAAAACAGGTTATTTCACCTTAGGTTTTAAGGAAATGTAAATAGAATATTTTTGTGCTTCTTCCCCTGCCCAGACTACATTTAGTATCACATAGTAACTGTCCAGGGCTCTAATCAATGAATTTATTTCTTAGTGCCTTTGATTCCTGCCCAGCCCCAGAGAACCTGATCAGAGAAGATGCAGACACGTACGAGAATACTTTTGTGTAGGTCAAGGCTGTGTGGTCAAGGGTGTGTGGAAGTGGCAGTGGAGAATGAAGTGGGAAATGGACATTCTTGAGCTCTAATGCTTGGCCATTCACTCCTGGGACACGACCTCTCCTAAGAGGGTCAGAGATACCAGGGCACTTCAACCATTATTTCCTTGGACTGACACAAAAAACTAGGTAAGGGGCCAGAATTAGAGTCTCCTTAGATTGTCCATTCATTGTGGTTTCTGTCCAACACTTGTTTTCCTGAGCTGAAACATGCAAAAAACAAACAAAAAAAACTCGTAGTGATTTTTGGAGGAAATTGACTGTTTTCATAAAAATTAATGTTTGTGCTCCATTCATGTTACTTGTTAAATTGATGTCTAGAGGCCTAAACATTTGAATAAATTTTTAATATAGTCAACCAGTAAATAAATTTTTCGAGGGAGTGAGTTCCCAGAATTATGGTTATGAGTTTCTCACTTCAATATCTCATCTTTGGAAATTCTAACTCTGTCCATTGAATTAAATGACACTAATTTTTAAGTAGCTTCTAATTCTTTTTATAGTCTAGAAATTTATTGTTTTAGTATTTGTTTACCTGGTTTTTCTAAAAGGGGTGGTGGATAAATCTTGTTAAAGGACCAGTTGTATAGTGGATGATATAATTACACCTGTAATGGTGAATGATGCACGATTCACAGATTTTTTTTTCTCTCTGTTGATACTACTGTTGCAATGATTGGAAGTTTCACACGTACTTGATGGCCATCCTTTCATATTTGATTGTGGTACTCCCTGGAATCACACACTTTAGTTGTACTTATTGAGGAACTCTTTAGTTCTGGTACTTGATGGTTCTGTTCTGAAATAGTTCTGAAATATGTGGTTATTAAATAGTTTGTGGCACCAGGAACAAATAGAGCTACTAGGACTGCCTTCAGTGCATGTGGTGGGCCTGAATCTTAACACTTCACCGTTTCAAGGCAGACACTTTAGAACCTCAGTCATCTCCCAGCCATGATGATGCAAAATTGAAACTCATCTAAAATTTAAAAATACATATTTGGAGCACATTGTTATATATTAAATCATGATTATGATTTTTTCATAGATTAGTTGGTCCATATTTTGACATGTTGTGAAAATAATTGGGATAAAATCTGATATATTATTTCCTAATTTGTTCATTATGTTCTCATTGTTGCATTTTGTGGTTATTTTAGAAGTTATAAATAAAAAATGCATCGGAATTTTTACTTACATTCTTTATAAAAATGTGTGAAATTTAATCTTCAGAGTTTTGTGTCTGATGATTTCAAAACATGCTGTTTATTTTTAAAAATTATTTTTATTTTCTATTTAATCACTTTGAACTACAGTTACAAAACTTTTATGTTTGAGTTTCATTCATACAATGATCGAACACCCATTCTCCACGAGTGCACATTTCCCACCACCAATAGACCAGTATTCCTCCACCCCCCTGGCCCAACTCTCCCCTTGCCTCTATGGCAGACAATTTCCCTCTTACTCTTTCTCTCTCTACTTACAGGCACTATGGTTTGAAAACCAGATACTGAGAATCCATCATGTTTGGTCCTTTATCTAATTTCAGGACACAAATCCCATCCCAATCGATTCCTCCGACCATCATTGTATTAGTGATGCCTTCTCTATTCCAGCTGTCTCCTCCCCCAACTCATGAGATAAG